AGTGTCCTACAAGAGTGTTTCGCAAAAGTGGCCTACAAGAGTGTTCCGCAAGAGCGCCCCGCAAGAGTGAGTGTCATACAAGAGTGTCCCGCAAGAGTGTCCCACGAGAGTGTCCTACAAGAGTGTCCTGCAAGGATGTCCCACAAGAGTGTCTCACAAGAGTGTCCCACAGGAATGTCCCACAAGAGTGTCCAACAAGAGTGTGTTACAAGAGTGGGGGGAGTGTCCTACAAGAGTGTCCCGCAAGAGTGTCCCACAAGAGTGTCCAACAAAAGTGTCCCAAAAGAGTGCCCCACAAGAGTATCCTACAAGAGAGTTCCGCAAGAGTGTCCCACAAGAGTGTCCTACGAGAGTGTCCCACAAATCCCCCCAAAGCCGGAACTGGACACCGTCACCACAGGAGCCTGCTCAGGTGGCATGCTCCGCTACCACGCGGAAACGATTCACGCGAATCATTTCAAGAAAACCCTAACACGCACAAGGCCGCTCGAGCGCAGGTAGCTTTGCCCTACAACAGGACCAGGTCACCTGTCATTAGGCGTGCGAGTCACATTCAAAGTTGGGCTGGCAAGCACGGAAACGTATTCATTTCATCAAGCACCCAACCACCCCACCCCACCCACCCTGTTTTTTTGCTTTTGTTTGCGCGTTTGGGGCATGTGGTTGTTGCTCGAACTATTGCGGACGTCGCAGTTGTGGAATCCTGAAAGTTGCAGAATCCGTGTCGCAGAATCCCAGTCGGAATCCGAGCGAATAGTTTCAGAATCCTAGTTGCAGAATCTTGTGCAGTTGCGGAATCGGAGACTATCCCACCTGTCTAAGAGCCTTACAAAAAACAAAACCTTCTTACCACTATACCCAAGAAGGGAAAGTTGAATCGAACTTGGCACCATGAATTTGGAACAGTTTGGTTGCTTTAGATTTTTGCAGTCCACGTCTACTGTACCGCATCAGTTTAGGAAATTATTGAAACTTGGCCAGGTTTTGACGCATGGGCACTTGGGACCAGAGGCACCCACAGTGTTTTGCAACACTTCTTGGAGGTGCTTTCTGGAAACTTACAAAGTTCCGTATGTTTGCACTGCATTTTTTTCCAATCCAGCCGTTGTTGTCAGGAGCACTGGCGCATCAAAGACATGCAGTCCAAATTTTCCCTGATTAAAGTAAAAGTTTTGCTTGCAGCTGGACTTTAACATTGAAAAATTGAAAGTCATGACACTTGCGCATTGGCCACTTTGAAGGAGGGTCAGAAACAACGAGCAATGAAAATGACTTTGACGAAAAACGACTGTTAGGTAAGCCTGCTGAACGGATTTCGAGATCTTACTCTCATGGGTGTGCAGGCCGAAGGGACAAGAGTAGATTTGTCACCATTCGTCGCTTTTTGTTTATTGACAGGTTTTTCCTTGCTTGTGCTTCTCAAGGCCTTTGATTTCAATCACATGAACAATGTCCTGATTTCCCGGGACTGCAGAAAAGCTCGACTCATTGACATTGATGGGAATAGCAAAGGCTCTATTCAGCCTCCGACTTGGTTGATTTCTGCATTGAAAAACAGGTTCCTTACGTTTGTTAATGGATGTTCACATGTTGATGGGAATTGATTTGGAATTGAAGGGTTTTGTATTGAGGTTTCCCTCAGAATACACTCGGGGGAGTGGCGAAGAGGCATGCGTTTGCGATGTATGAATGATTCATGATGATCCAATTAAATCAGTAATTGCATTCATATTACTTTTTTGGTCTTCGTGGATCAAACCGTTGAAAAGACAATATGCTATATTTTTCAGGTTTTTGCTGGTTACCTGGTTCCTGCCACCTGCTAGCGTTTTTTTTGGTGTTGCCAGGGTCTCTTCAAGCCTGCGCTTGATGTGGATCTTTCATTGGTTTTGCCCGTTGTAGTGCAACAGCTGATATGTGGCAAAGGCGGACCAGCGTTTCAGAGTTGTTTCGTGGCAAATGCAGTGCAAATAGATTCACTAGCGGACTAGGTCTAGCCCCCTTACGGCGTTGTCAATGCCATGTGTCGGGACGGAACATGCCTGAGCCAGGCCGTGGAACTCTCTTCGTCACGGAGCTGATTAGCAAAGTTCGGCCATGCTCTCAGACTTTTTTTTTCCGTGTCCAGTTCCAAGGAAATCACTGGACTGTTGTGTTATAGTAAAGCTGCTAGGACCAGGTGAAGTGGGTACAAGCTACTAGTAACAAATGCATAGCCACTAGTAACAAGGGCAATGCTACTAGTAACTAGAAGCTACTAGTAGTAATGCCCTTGTTACTAGTAGCGATGCCCTAGTCAGGCCTCTTTGTTTTTCTGAGAAGGCTCAGCTGTCTCCACTGATCTGGGCTGCCTCGAGGCGTGCGAAGAACGACGAGGAGGCCAAAGAGCTTATTCGTCACATTGTGCAGGACTGGACTGGAGCAAACAGAACAGCAACGTGCGAGCGTACGCCGACTCCATTTTTGTGTTAATCAAGGAATCATCACCGTCAGTCATCCATGATCAAGTTCTTTCCCTTTTTATTGCTGAGATTCTTTCCAGCAGGAAAGTTCCATGCACTTGGCTTTCGTTTACGTTCCTTTTTCCATAGCTGCCAAGGCCGTTCTTGGTGTCTTGGGTTCTTGAAGCCACTAGAACTCCACTTGAGGAATAAACAAAGTAGTAGCAAGGACGCTATCAGTAGCTCCTGGCATTACTACTAATAACAAAAAGCTACTAGTAACAAAGAGCATCGCTCGCTACTAGTAGCAAGGAGGCTATTTCTTTTGCTATGAGTTGTGCTTGGCTCCTTCAACCTCTCATGTCACTCATCCAGTTGGTCAACTTCAGCTCGGAAAGGGCACATCCATGTGTTTGCGCTTGAGCAAGAGAAAGAAACTCGAGGGTTGACAGATGTGCCTTCCAAGGAGGATTTCTTCCGATACTCGAAAGGTACAAATCAAGATGATGCTTGGTTGTGAGAACTTGTGTTTGACGGTGGCTACATCATGCTGTTCATATTCATGCAGCCTTGTTTGGATGACTTTGCTCCCAGCTTGCTAAGGAGAAGACAGAAAAGCACCTCTCCAAAGTCGTGGAATGGTCACTCAGTTGCAGTCATGGCTGTAAATCCCCCCCAGCGGGGTGTGGAAGATGAAAGGGAAACCGTCAACGACATAGATGTATACAAGGATGTGAGCACGATCCACCCGCTCATGCATGCGTGCTTAGTATTCGCAGCGTTCCATGTTCCATTGCAGCACCCATCAGCATTCAGCAAGCCATGAAATCATCCGCCAAGCCATGAAAAGACATCCACTACACCCTGATCAGCAACGACATATCGTCTCCCAAAAGGCTGCATCCAAAACGACACACTTGGAATGCTGTACACACTTGTGGACCCCTTGTGGTAGCCATCCACTGGTCTCATCGCTGCACCAGTCAATCATACATCACTGCCATTCGATTCATACACCACAAAGTTCTTGGAACTTCCGAAGCCAACCTCGATGCAATGCTGTCACTCTTTACAACATGTCTTACATCATTATCATTGAATCATCAATAAGTGGAATGTCTTACTTACATCAATAATGAAAGTTGAACATGCTCAACCGGGCCCATGTTGATTTTATTGCAAGACATGATGCTAAAGCTACTGTGATCATTTTACAACAGTTGGACAAAGCTTTCTTTGGGAAGTCTTTTCTCAGCCGAGATCTATGCCTTGGAGAGGTAGATTATAACCCTAGACAAGATTGAACTGAAAGCGGAGGGGGGGAAGGTTTTGTCTAATGAACTCGAACACTAGTTTTAAACTTTTACTCCTCGGCATTTTCTTCGATGTGATTGTTTTCCGAAAGGCCTTTCAACCAACCCTGCAGAATAGAGGTTCTACGCGCTGCTGATGAAGCGCGCTCCCTGGACAACATGGACCAACGATATCTACGATGCTATGCGTTGTATTGACCATTTGCCTATCAGTTGACGAAGGTGATGACTGCGAGTGCAGATTGAGCAGACTCTGACACACTCCTGGAATGGCCAATGTCACAAGCATCCTGAAGGAGATAGGACCTGCCAGACTTCTTCGGTTGGAAGATCTCGAGATTTGCAAAGCGTGGGGCCACGTGTGGGCGGAACATGTCCGCCCGGTTGTTCATGGATGTCTTGCCAATGATCGATGGGAGCTGCGTCCCAGAGGGCAAAGCCGCATTGATTGAGGTGATTGGAAAAATGGAGAGGATCAAACGGAAACATTAGAGGAAAGCACTCAAAGAGTTGTCAATAAGTCTCAGAATTGGCATATGCCAAACTTCTTTGTCACACACAGGTTTGCGCAATCTACTCAGTGAGTGGTTAAGCTTCTCTTTCAAAGAATCGTACCAAGCTGTGCCATTCTGGCTAGGCCTGCGTTCAGCTTTTGGAAAAGATAGCTACGCAAGATATGGAGGACCGCAATGAAGTGTGTTGTTTGCAAGATAGCTAAGTGTGTTGTTTGCGTCATCAACTGGCAGCCTGTGGCGCTTGAAGGACATTGTGAAGAAAGTGGAAGAGAGGACATCGTGAAGCTATTAGAAACAAGTGCCACGCTACTAGTAACAGGTGCATCGCTAGTAACAGGTGCCTTACTAGTAGTAACAATGTTTGCTATTAGAAACAAGTGCCACGCTACTAGTAACAGGTGCATCGCTAGTTTAATTCTGATGCACTTGCCTCCAACTCCTTGGGCCCTTGGGATTTGTTTGCTTGGCAGGATGGAGGATGAAGATGAACATGTTCGCGATTCAGCGTCTTGCCCTTTGCTGTCTCAGATTGTGTGACATGCTGTCAGACAGATGGGTTCAATAACTAGGTCAGCTTGCTTTAAGTGCGTTCCATCCTGTTC